AAGGCTGTACCAAGTGCCTTGCCTTGAAATCTTATGTATGTTTAAAGGTACCGCTGTGTGAAACATGATGCTTTTGAGGTCATCTTTTGCAGATACAGGTTGTGTCCTTTTAAGGAATTTCGTTGCAGAGCAGCAGCAGTGGACATGACTTGCCGAGAGTCAGACCTCGAGTCCGTGACAAGACCGAGACACCACCCAAACACTTAAATCGATGTTCTTTTCCTCACTGTTTTTATTTCTCTATTTCTGTTTGCTCAAAGTACGAAAAATACTTTGGATTTTTTAGCCGACTTCATTTTTGAAAAGGACAGTAGTGAAGTAAAAGTAAAATTCACAGCACTTCTACTTCTACTTTTACTCACAGAAAGAGCCAGGGTAAACATTTTGCCATAGTAACACATGTACATGCCTCCCACGCGGGCAGAGCATATGTTCTGTGAGTCCATCTGGAGCGGGAGGCGGCAGAGTCGGCTGCACAGACACTTTCTCTCAGATAAAGAGACGGAGGCTGTTGTCGTCTCCGGGCGAGGCTCATTTAAATGAAGATTACGTTTTATCGGCTCACGTCAACGGCGTCTTTATCAGTTCAAGAGGAAGACGCGAAAAACTGTCAGGACTCGAACTCGCAACCACCTCGTCCACCGCACGGAACATCTGTCGTGTAAATATCCAAAATGATGAACTGTTGCCGTAGTAATTAACAATTTAAAACAAACAAAAAATATTAGATCCTTAACTCTTGTGACCTTAACAACTCAGCCTTATGTAACAGATAATACTCCCTACAACTGTACAACTCATGTGTATGTGACAGATAATACTCCCTACTGTACAACAACAGATAATACTCCCTACAACTGTACAGCAACTCATGCTTATGTAACAAATAATACTCCCTACAACTTTACAACAACTTGTCCGTATGTAACAGATAATAATCCCTACAACTGTACAGCAACTCATGCTTATGTAACAAATAATACTCCCTACAACTTTACAACAACTTGTCCGTATGTAACAGATAATAATCCCTACAACTGTACAACTCATGTGTATGTAACAGATAATACTCCCTACAACTGTACAACTCATGTGTATGTAACAGATAATACTCCCTACAACTGTACAACTCAGCTTTATGTAACATATAATGCTCCCTACAACTGTACAACTCATGTGTATGTGACAGATAATACTCCCTACAACTGTACAACAACAGATAATACTCCCTACAACTGTACAACAACTCATTCTTATGTAAGAGATAATACTCCCTACAACTGTATAATTCACCCTTATGTAACAGATAACTGTACAACTGACTTATGTAACATAATACTCCCTACAACTGTGCAACTCATGTGGATGTAACAGATAATACTCCCTACAACTGTAGAACTCACCCTTATGTAACAGATAATACTCCCTACAACTGTACAACTGACTTACGTAACATAATACTCCCTAAAAAAGTATAACAACTCACCTGTATGTAACAGATAATGCTCCCTACGACTGTGCAACTCATGTGGATGTAACCGATAATACTCCCCACAACTGTACAACAACTCACCCTCATGCAACAGATAATACTCCCTACAACTGTAGAACTCACCCTTATGTAACAGATAATGCTCCCTACAACTGTACAACAACTCACCCTCATGCAACAGATAATACTCCCTAGAACTTTACAACAACTTCTCTGTATGTAACAGATAATACTCCCTACAATTGTAGAACAACTCAGCCTTACGTAACAGATAATACTCCCTACAACTGTACAACAACTCATCCTTATGTAACAGATAATACTCCCTACAACTGTACAACAACTCATCCTTATGTAACAGATAATACTCCCTACAACTATTCAACTCACTATTATGTAACAGATAATACTCCCTACAACTGTACAACTCACTATTATGTAACAGATAATACTCCCTACAACTGTACAACAACTTGTCTGTATGTAACAGATAATACTCCCTACAATTGTAGAACAACTCACCCTCATGCAACAGATAATACTCCCTACAACTTTACAACAACTTGTCTGTATGTAACAGATAATACTCCCTACAATTGTACAACAACTCACCCTTATGTGACAGATAATACTCCCTACAACTGTACAACATCTCTAAGTCTCGTGTTGAACCTAAACAGATCTGAATTTGTTAAAAACGAGCACAGAAACATCAGCTCTGTCGAGTCTGTCGAGTCTTTTCAGCTGAACTTCCTGGGTAAACATCCCGGCGCACGTTCCTCGTCGGGTTGGTGTAAAAGCCGTTTCAGATGTGCAGCCCACCCACCGGCGTCGCGTCTCTCCTCTAAACACCGCGAAGAACAATTAGCGCGATTAGCATCTGGTAATGTCCTCCCCCTGAAGCGAGACCGAACCCAAACAAAGGTGGCTAATTCCTCATCCGCTCGTATTATCCGGAAAACCGCGCTGGCGCCAGGAGCAGGTGCGACGGCGAAGAAAAGAGAAGACGCCGAAGAGAGAAAGAGAGAGACAGAGTTTGATGGGACTGGTGAAGGAGCGGGTTAAAACGAGGCTGATATGGTATAGGACGACAAGATTTTCAAAATAAAACACCGGGATGTCCTTGTTTTTTGGTGTTCGGTAACAATAAATTTGTCAAACGAGTGCGTAAATAAGGAAAACTGTTCTGCAGATCCATTCGTGACAAAAATGTGAGTTGATATAGTCACATTTTCTTTGTGTTTTGGTCGTTTTTAAGTAGCTTTTCTGTATTTTACCTAAACAAATGACAGTTTATGAGTATCTTTACTGTTGGCAGGGATCAGATTAGTCAAAAATAGGGACATTTCTTATATAAAAGTCTGAGAAATCACAGGGCTCAGAACTGGGGCTGTCCCGGGTTAGTATTCGGTCAAGCTACACACGTGGGTAAAATGAACAAAAATGGAACATAACAGTGAGGTTTTCTGGCATAGGTAAAATGTGGAAATGTAAAGGGCCCCTCCAGCCATCAGATCAACCTTTTATATTAACTTCTTAGGTTCTTTTTAAAAACAAAATAGTCGTATTGTAGTAGTTGGAGTGAACAGACAGTCCCAGTTTGGAGCCATGTGTCCCCAGGTCCCGCGACACAGAAGAGGAAGTGGCGCTCAGTTTACCTCTGGACATCGAGGCCGAGTTGCTCAGAAGTGACACCGAGGATGAAGAATTGAATGGATTTAGTGATTTGGAGTGAGATGGAGAGTTTGTTAAACTTGTTCTGTTCTGTTGTTTATGCTGTAGCTTGACTTTCAGTATGAAATGTTCCTGGGCTCTGAATTCTATAAAATAAATTTCCCCCCAAAAAGCCACTTATAGTCCGGTGCGACTTATAGTCTGAAAACTACGATACTTTGTGTTGTTTCTCAAGTCTGTTATTGTATAATTACTTTTCTTACTTAACCCTGCCCTTTGTTACTCTTTTATTTAAATCCTTGTAAATGACCTTTTCTGTAAATATTTTAGATCCCTTTTGTTTAATTTACAGTTTACATTATATTTAATTTAATTACTTCTTTACTGTATCATTTCTTGATCTTGATTTTTGTCTCGAGTCACTGGCCCATAAGTCCAAGTCAAGTCCAAGTCGTCTGCTTTGAGCTTCAAGTCATTTCAACTCTTTAAACCAAAAGTACTTTTTGCAATTTATTTGACTTTTAAAATGAATTGTACTTAAAAAAAACAAAAAACAAAACCATAGTATATTTATATATGAGTATTTTTAGAGTATGTAAGGGTTGTAAAAATGTAATTTTTTCTTTTTGTAATTTTTTCTTATTTAAATGTCTTGACAAGATCTTAGTGTGAATCATTACTGTCAGAATAGAAAGAATTCAGATTTAAAAGTGCTTCTCAAGCCACAGGCCTCAAGTCCGAGTCAAGTCCCAAGTCTTGGTCCATTTTATCAAGTCAAATCTCAAGTCCTAAAGATAGTGACTAAATTCTGACTTGAGACCAAGTCACAACTTCCAAATCCCCACCTCTGGTTACCAATGAAGTATAAAAGTGTCAAATGTGAACGTTAAGACACAATAAAGTAAAAACTAATCTCATAAGCAGACGGTTATATTACATTGAGCAGTATTATGATGTTATATCAAAAGAGCAGCTACAGCCAAAGTTATTTAATCTCAATTTAACTCATGGAGCGCCCCCTACAGTTCAAACTAAAACTAAAATAATAAATAACCCTAATCCTCACCAGTCCAGTCGACTCTTGTGTGATCTGTGGCCACACTTCACTTCACACTCAGAAGTACAAGCTTCTCTTTTGTCTCTTTACGAATCTATAGTTTGAATAAAAATGATTTTGTTAATTTGAAATCTAAAACAAAAACAAAAACTCAAATGTATAACCAAAAGATGTTCATTTTGTCTTCTTATATACTTTAACTTCTTGGGTTCTTTTTAAAGACAATGCAGTAAAGTGTGTTTACCTTGTTGACATGTTTCGGCTGCTGCTGCATCTTCAGAACTGTCACCGGTGTTGGTGGTGACGTGTCGTATATCAGCTGTTGTTACTTCCTGTAGGCGTGTCAACAAGGTAAACACACTTTACTGCATTGTCTTTAAAAAGAACCCAAGAAGTTCAAATGTATAACATCAAGCCACAAAACCCAGTCCGTACGCATTCGTCTGTTTTCTTTGCGTTGGTCCGAGTTTAGATTGTAAGGCAGAATTACCACGTGAAAGGGCATCTGACGTAAACAAAAAAACAAACCAAATCAAAAACCAGAATGAAGTGCATCTGCAAACTCTGAATCGTGCTGAAAAAGGGACAAAAACCTCCAGACTTTTTGAGTAGAACAAGATAAATAAATACCAAAATCAGTTATTAAATTTCCCAAACATAAAAAATACCAGCGCTTTATCGACCCGTTACTGTACAACTCATAAAGGAGGATAAGTTGCTTGCTACATTTGACGGTAAAATATTTAAAATGCTTTAGTTTACGCTATTCTAACCCACCTCCTGCTCACAGCTTTTGTTGCGCCGACACTCCTTTCCAGTAGTCCAAAATATCGTGGAGGTCCTCATCTTTCGCGAACTGGACTTTTTTCCTCAGCGCGTGACCGGCGGCGATGTACGCGGCCGCCTCCTCCCTCGGGCTCTTCCGGTAAGGCTTAAACCGCTCCCAAATCCGAAGTGTGCTCTCCGAGGAATATTCCGGACTGGAGGAGTAACCGGAGTTGTAGTTGTGGTGTCGGGACGGCGAGAGCTGCGAGTACGCCATGGTCGCCTCCCGTTTGGCGCGCCCGATCGGCTTCAGGAAATTCGCCTTCTGCGCGGAATCTGGCGAGTCGTCGGCGTTTTCGTAGTACAGCGCCGGGAAGGAATGCCGGTGCTCCGAGCTGTGGTAGTCGGGCTGTACTTCTAAGTGCTGCGCGGTGCTCTGAGCGACTTTGGGACCGCCGCAACCGCTGCTTTTACCGTTAGTGCACGCCATGTTCGCTCCGTTCACGCTCACCCCGCCCCCGTTGACGGCGCTCCCGCTGCAACCGCGCTCGCCCTTCTTACACGCCAACGGGCTCGGCTTCTCCTGGTACTTGGGCGGGTCGCCGCGTTGATCCGGGACCTCCATGCTGTAGCCTCTCGGGTTTTTATTCGCGGGATTACCGAGCCTGTTTTTCGCGTCGGCGCTTAACTGCCTCTGCAGCGGACGGACCGCGTTGGCTGGCGGCGGATCGCGGTACGGGGGAGTGAGGAACCCGCCGCCGCTGATCCCCGGGCGCTCCGACAACGGCATGACGAGCGGGACGGGCGCCATGGACGGGTGAGGGTGCGCGGGTAAGTGCGTTTGCAGCTGCGAGCTCGGCGGGTGCATTTTCGGGTGAACTTTCGGAGAAGGGGCTTTGATAATTTGCTCGTTTTGGTTGGCGGGCGACATCGGGAGCAGGTTTCGCGCTTGAGACGCGGCGTAGCTCGGCGGCTGCGGGATCGGAATGTTCTCGGACGCGGGCGGAGCGCTGGCGGAGACGTCGAGTTTCAAAGCGTCGATGCAGTTGTTGATGATCTGGTTCACTTTGTCCACTTCTTTCGCGATCGTGGAGATTTCGGAATTGGAACCGTTCGCGTCTTCGTCCAGATCGTTGTCGGCCTCGTTCTCCTCCGCGTTCCGCATGTCCACCACCGTCTCCCCCGCGCTAGCGCCCCCTGCCGTCTCCCTGGGCTCCCCCACTAGTCCGGCAGTCCTCACGTCCATGTAGTTGCCCTTCCCCGCCGCGACGCCCCCTGCTGGAGAGTCGGTGAAGGCGCTGGCCATCTTCTCGCCCTGGGGCAGAGCGGAGAGGCGGTTGGTGCCGGTGGCGGGGGGTCCCTGGAGCATGCCGGGGCCCGGGGAGGCGGACTGGGGCAGCTTCCCTCCCCCGGCGGCGTGGTGCTGGTGGGAGGCCTGGTCCTGGAGGCGTTGCATCGCGGCTGGATCATTGGACACTGCTGCTGCCGCCTCTGGACCGTACCTGAGAAGTAAACAAAATCTGAATCAGTGTTGTTGCGATACTAAAGTTTTAAGCTCTATTTCAATACAAAGGAAAGTCTCAGCACCAGCTAATGTAATGGCAAAAGGAGAAATTAAATTTGTCAGCTGGACAAAAGTTTATTTTGGTCAAATATGTTTCACAGCTCATCCAAGCGGCTTCTTCAGTTCTGGTCAGATGCTTTTGGACACTTCCTTATATCTGTCTGCAGGGAGGAGCTTGACCCAATTCTGCGTAATATTAATTGTATTTCTTTATAAAAAGCAGTAAATATAATTGTTTTGATGAGCTGTTAAGACCAGTAAGAGTTTATGTCATGACTAAGCAATGAAAAAGGGAGGTTGTTAAACAAAAAATGACATTTAAAAAAAAAGAAAAACACCTCTAAAATAAAAGCAATGCAGCTTTAGTCCATATGTATGAGAAGCCATGTGTTTTTCAAAATAAAACCAAAAATAAGAAAATGAAAAAACAACTGTTTTCTTCATTATTTGTCTCCAAAACCAAAATGAAAAAACAGATAATGATTCGTTTTTTCAGTTTTCGATTTTGTGTTTAGATAAAAATGGAAAAAATGGATAACAACTGTTTCCTGTGATGATGGACTGAACCAGGACTAAACTTGAACCAGAAATGAACCAGGTCTAAACCAGAATTGAACGAGGACTAAACCAGGTCTACCAGGACTAAACTGATCTCATTCCTGGTCTCCATCCTGGTCTCCAGTTCTGGTCTTGCCCCAGTCTGCGTCCCAGTCTCAGTCCTGGTCTCAGTCCTGGTTTCAGTCCTGCTCTGAGTCCTGGTCGGGTCCCGGTCTCAGTCCTGTTCACCCAACAGTTTACACAGGCCACCTAAACCAGTACTGAGTGTCAGGACAGCCCTCCTGACACTCAGTACTGGTTCAGTCCTGGTTTAGTCCTGGTTTAGGACTGAGATCGTGACTGAGACCGGGACCAGACTGGAACCAGACCAGGACTGAGGCCAGGACTGAGGCCAGGACGAGACTGGTACAAGATCAAGACAGAGACCAGGACTAGACTGGGACCAGACCAGGACTGAGACCAGGACTGAAACCAGGACTGAGACCAAGACCAGACCAGGATGGAGACCAGTTTAGTTCTGGTTCAGTCCTGGTTTAGTCTGTTATTCGTTTTTTCCATTATTCACAAAAACACAAAAAAAAACACAAAATTGAAAACTGAAAAAACGAATCGTTATCCGTTTTTTATTTTGGTTTTGGAGACAAATAATGAAGAAAAAAGTTCTTTTTTTCATTTTCTTATTTTTTGTTTTATTTTGAAAAACAAATTAATGAATGATTCCACAGATTTACAGTATATGTTTATTTTGTAATTCCAAATTTGCTGAAATGGGCCGGTCACAGTCTGTTTGTCCCAGGTCTGTTCTAGACAGTGTTGGGGAGTAACAGATTACATGTACTGGAGTTATGTAATCAGAGTACAAATTATGAGTAACTGTATTCAGTTCCAGTTACTGTTTCAGTGAGTGGTAACACTGCGGTATTTTCCTGTTTCCACATTTTGGGCCACTCATTGCTGGAAACTATATCAGGTCTAAGCTAGATCTAAACCAGGTCTAAACCAGGACTAAACCAGGACTAAAATCAGGACTAAAATCAGGTCTAAACCACGACTAAAATCAGGTCTAAACTAGATCTAAACCAGGTCTAAACCAGGACTAAAACCAGGTCTAAACTAGATCTAAACTAGAACTAAACCAGGACTAAACCAGGACTAAACTAGATCTAAACCAGGTCTAAAGCAGGACTAAAATCAGGTCTAAACTAGATCTAAACCAGGACTAAAACCAGGTCTAAACTAGATCTAAACCAGGTCTAAAACCAGGTCTAAACTAGATCTAAACTAGATCTAAACCAGGTCTAAACCAGGTCTAAACCAGGACTAAAATCAGGTCTAAACTAGATCTAAACCTTGTTTAAAACAGGTCTAAAACCAGGTCTAAACCGGGACTAAACCATGTCTAACACAGGATTTAAGATCTTTTTATTTTCTTTTAGCAGACAAAACATCTTATGTTACAATATCCTGGTCTTTGCTTCTCTACAGCAAATCAAGTAATCCAAAGTATTCAGATTACATTACTCACTTTAAGTAATTTAATGGATTACGTTACAAACTACATTTTGGGGTATGTAATCTGTAATCTGTAGGGGATTACATTTTAAAAGTAAACTTCCCAACACTGGTTCTAGATGATATTTCATCAGGAAAAGGCCCCAAAAACAGGTATTGTTCAGGTTCACAGAAAAAAAAAATCTCTAAGCAAGAACCAGAAGCGCAAATGACAACAGAAATCACCAAAAGTACAATTCCTTGATCATTTCTTTTCGTGACAAGGTCCATTACCCGGCTTTATTTACCCAAACACGCTTTTTATCGACCTCTTCAAACATTATGGACAAAAATGAAGCAAAAATATCCCCAATTATACTTGACTGCTCCTTAAATCGTTCATTAAATTGTCCAATAATCAGTTTTCGGGCGTCTATTAAAACCTTTGCCTCCGGTGGCTGTAATCTGTATTGACTAACGCGATCCAGTTTCACTTAAAGGTTTGGCTCTGCACCTCGTCTGCGTTCGGAGCAGGTCTGAAAAAAAGTGCGCGGGGATCCAATTTAACCGCGGCATCAAAGGAAAGCAACTCAGCAAAACTAATGAGGCGAGACCCAGCCAAAAAACGCTCCCAAGGAATCCATTACGGCACAGCTACACCTTAATAATGTTTTTACTGCCTACATCTGTGCGGGGCTGTGTTCAAATAAGAGTCTGCGCGGTAATTATTATGTGTTTGAGACCATCTTGTTTGGCTGGCGCGTTTTTCCACTATCTAAATTGTTACAAAGCCTGATGGGACTCCGGCATCCAAAAGACATACGGTTAGTAATTGGTGGATGCCAGGGAGTGAATACTAAAACAAAACAGCTTTAAAAAGACTCTCCAGAATATGTGAGCGCGATACAGAAGCACGCGGCGCTCAGATTGATCAAGAGTAAAACCCGTAACCTACCGACTGAGAGAGGTGCAAGAAGGACCGTATGTTTTGGATTATAAGTCGCACTTTTTTTCATGGTTTGGGTGTTTCCTGCAACTTATATATTAAAAATTACAGACTGAAGCTGCGAGAGGCTCTAGTCTTGTGTGTCAGAATCTAATACTGTTCCTCCTGTACCACGGGGTCCAGTCAAGTGGTAACGGAGGGAAACAGGGCAGATTTTTTACATTCAAATGTCTCTTATTCAGAAACTAGAGGAACTATTGAAATAAGTAAAGTATCAGAATGTAGGAAAGAGTTACACTCCAACAGGGTCAAGTTAAACCTGTGATATTCTTTCAAGTTGTTGACAAAAAATTAAAAACTCATGTCGGTAACGGAGGGAATGAAATATGCAGCACTTTTTGGGCAATAAATCCAAACAGTGATAACTCTTGGTTCTCACTTACATATCCTTAACAAACTGGTTTGAATATTTGCTTCATATAGTTTTCTACCATATGGTACAAGATTAGGTTGAAAAACCTCTTACTTTTTGACTCATGAGATTTTTTATTAAGAAAGGTCATGGTAACGGAGGGAAAAGTAACAGAGGGAAAATTGTTCAAACAAGTAGAAGGTGCAGGATTTTACATCATTTGTCAACTTTTTTCTTCCAAATACTTTAATATTACTTCAAAATGAAAGGAAACTATTTATATAAAATATGTCAGTCCTTCCAAGAACATTTTTATCATTTTAAATAATTTTTTTTTTTGAAAAATCCTGTACCTTCATCAACAGTTCAAAGATGGAATAACACAAGATATGATGAAATACATCCATTTATTTACATGATTTTCAGGTCTTTGAAATTTGGGAAATAATTTTTGTTCCATGTTTCATACATGGTCTGTTTAAAACGTATGGAACTTTAGAACCAAAAATGGTACAGAAAAAAGGTCAACAGTTTCATAAACTAGAGTACATATGTATCTGTTCAATACATTTTTATATCAGATGCATTAACTTGAATTTTTGGCCTTGTTGTTTACTTCTGCTTGACCGGACCCCACTGTCACTTGGCTCTACTGCGCATGTCTCCTGTAGAAATATTCAGCTGGAAACATTAATCGAGCAGCAGAAAGAAAGTTTGGAGCAAGCGAGAAACTTGTGAGGGACTGGCGGAAAGCGGGGATGGAGAACACAGCTTTTGGGCGGGTGTGCAATGTACCGTATTTTCCGGGCTATTAGACGCGCTCTTAAGCCTCTTACTGCATCAAAAAATGACACGCACGCCACGAATCCAGCACGACTTCAGTAAACTACAAAGCCGCAAACACGCACGACCGCACAGTGAAAAACACCCACAGACACACTCATCACTCCACGCCGACGAGGAACGGAACGGAGGAACGAACCAAAAAAGCGAGCGCAACGTGTCGCTTCTAAACACGACTGAACAACTGAGTCACTGCGAACACGCCGACAATCCGTTGGTCCCAGACACACCCTCCCTACACGCCACAACTGAACAAAGCCCAGAGTCACCGTGAACGAACAAACAAACAAAACCACTCACCCATCACACTGTTGTGTTTCCTTTAAAGTCCCATGAGGTTTATTTGTGAAAAAAGTTTGAAAATAGAGCAAAAATTTACTTAAATCAATTTTGTTAACCAGGAAAAATACAAACCGTGAGCTCCTTTAGCATAAGAAGCTAAGGAGCTACGAGATCTCCCACAATCCACTGCACACATCAAACCAACAGATTCTTCATTAAAATCTTCTGCATAAATAAACTCAACTTTTATATAGAGCTACATCAGCCCGTTTGATCAGATAATTCAGCTGTGATCACATTTGTTTACGTTTTACAGAAACGAAACTTAAGACCGTTTGGCTAATTAGCATAAACTGTTAGCGGCGATAAAAACAACTCGCTCCTTGCGCCGCTGATGCGATCAGTTTCTTTTGGACTAAATGACACGACTCTGTGGATTATGTGTGTTATTTCTGTGACAGAAGGTAAGTGTGTTTCGTGCGTATAGAGTATAGGAGATAGTTCATGTTTTAGCTTTTCAGCGTCACACGAGTGCAGGTCAGTACGAGTTGCAGACTTTTGGTACGTGTCTTTTGGACGCATGCGACTCAACTTTATGTTGCAGTAACCGGGATACTGCGTTTACATGCACAAAGTAACCTGGTTACTATCGAAATAAACCAGCTACAGTAACCCGGTTTCTAATAACCGGGATACTGCCATAACTGGGTTACTGAAACCGGGTTACTGCGTTTACATGCACCATCAAGAAACCGGGATACTCAAAAAAGCCCGATCATAACCGGGTTACTGATGTGCATGTATACACACTCATTGATTTACACTGGAATATTGTCGCTCCTCTTTCTGTAACTCATCATTTTGCTCTTAAAATGTTTGTATTAACCTGCACTACATGATCCTTTTTTTTTTTGCTATTTTTATTTCACCAAATTCGCTCCTATAACCGTTACCATCGCTTCATTTGAGTGCTGCCGAACACGGTGGGCGACGTCACACTCGCATAGTCCACTTTTTTATATCATGTCCAGTAATTAACCACTTTTATTTTATTACGTTCCATCACTGCTCTGCCGCTGTAACACACATTTCTACAATCTTTTTTTCTGTATCCTCCGAAGTCTCGACATGAACACTTGACCACATGCTCTTACTGTCAGAGGATTTCCCGCGGACCTCTCTTTAAAAAAGACCACAGATCGCTGGTTATTTCTAACAGTTTACAAAAAGGTTCTACACTCAAAACTGACCCTGTGTCTCCAGAGTCTTCACCTGCGGATAAAAACACATCCAAGCTTGTCTCATTCTCAGTTTATGGACAGACCAGGCCTCACGTGAAGCTCAGAACCTCCAGAATTCCCTCCCTGAGCTGCAAAACATCAAATTATACATAACTACAGTGTTTTTGTTACTAAGAATAAATCTGCATCAGAACTGTAATCAGTAAAAGCCACATCTGATTTGGACAAGTTTATCTCATATATGGGGACAAATATAAATATTATCAGCCATATCGGAGACAGATCGGCCTAAATCTTGCCGATCTGGGCCGATAGTCGACGTGGGCATGTTTTACCGCGTAATAAAGCTTAGACTCTCTATATTATGTTCATTTCATCCAATTCGTTTCAATTCGTACATTTATTTTTCAAAATAAAACCAAAAATAAGAAAACGAAAAAACAACTATTTTCTTCATTATTTGTCTCCAAAACCAAAATTTAAAAAAAGATAGACAGATAACGATTTGTTTATTCAGTTTTCGATTTTGTGTTTAAATGAAAAATAAAAATTTCTGTGACTTAAAGTGCGATGCTGGACTAAAACAGGACTAAACCGTTTTCAGTCCTGGTCTGGTCCGGGTCTCGGTCCCGGTGTCAGTCCCGGTGTCAGTCCCGGTCTCAATCATGGTCTGGTCCCGGTCTCAATCATGGTCTCAGTCCTGGTCCTGTTCCCAATCTCAGTCCTGTTCCCGATCTCACTCCCAGTCTCAGACCCAGTCTCAGTCCTGGTCCTCTTCGCGGTCTCAGTCCTGGTCTCAGTCCTGGTCCTGTTCCTGGTCTCAGTCCTGGTCTTAGTTCTGGTCCTGTTCCTGATCTCAGTCCTGGTCTCAGTCCTGGTCCTGTTCCCGGTCTCAGTCCTGATCCTGTTCCTGGTCTCAGTCCCGGTCTCAGTCCTGGTCCTGTTCCTGGTCTCAGTCCTGGTCTCAGTCCTGGTCTGGTTCTGATCTCAGTCCCGGTCTCAGACCCGGTCTCAGTCCTGGTCCTGTTCCTGGTCTCAGTCCTGGTCTCAGTCCTGGTCCTGTTCCTGGTCTCAGTCCTGGTCCTGTTCCTGGTCTCAGTCCTGGTCTCAGTCCTTGCTCTGTTCTCGGTCTCAGTCCTGGTCCTGTTCCCGAGTCTCAGTCCCGATCTCAGTCCTGGTCTCAGTCCTGGTCCTGTTTCCGGTCTCAGTTCTGGTCCTGTTCCCGGTCTCAGTCCCGGTCTCAGTTCTGGTCTGGTTCCGATCTCAATCCCGGTCTCAGACCCGGTTTCAGTCCTGGTCTCAGTCCCGATCTGATTACGGTCTGGTTCCGGACCTGGTTCAGTCCTGGTTTAGTCCTGGTTCAGTCCAGTGTCGCAGTTTAAGTCACGTAAACACCGTTATCCATTTTTTCCATTTTTCAATTAAACACAAAATCGAAAACTAAAAAAACAAATCATTATTTGTTTTTTCATTTTGGTTTTTGAGACAAATAATGAAGAAAATAGTTGTTTTTTTTTCATTTTCATTTAACCAGTCAGAATTTAAAACCCGCTCCTCACCTCATCTCCAGAATGGTCTTCTTCACGCTGATGGCCTTCTCCTTCTCCTCTTGCGCCCTCCTGCGGCGGAGGCAGTAGTACACGAACCCGAGCACCAGCAGCATCCCGAACAGGCAGCCCAGGATGGTCATGATGTAGTGCGTGGTGGAGGAGGGACTGGTCCGGTGGTCCTCTGGTCCGGCGGCGCGCGTGGTGAACGACATGCACGTGTGGTTGTAGTGCTGAGTCTTGCTGACCGACGCCACGCAGTAAGTGTAATTCGAATGCGGTTTGAGCTTATCCAACATGATCACTTCGGTTTTCTTCCTGAGGGGCCGATCGACGATGAGCGTGTGATTGTACTGAGACAGAACGTACATTTTATTATACGGTTCCGGGATCTGCACTCGTAAAGACGCGGAGTACGGCGAAACGGCCTGCGTCATTATCGTGATCTGATTTTTGCTCAACGCGTCAGACGTGGAGGAAGTGTTCGGCTGGTGGTAAAATCCCTGGTCGGTATTGTCCAACCCCAATCCCGATCCGTCCAAATCGGGCAGCTGCGACGGCATTCCCGGTATGATCACGCCGTCCCTGCATCTCGTGGACAGGATGGTCCTCGCGTTGCGTCCGTGTCCCGGTACCGGACTCAGGAGCGGGTACCCGAACATGTCCCGGGGGGTTTCGCACTGCAGTCGGTCGTAGGTGTGCGTCACGTTGTTGAAAGCTTCCAGCCACGTGAGGAAGCTGAAGAGGTCGCAGCCGCAGTGGAACGGGTTGGCGGCCAGTTCGCAGACGGTCAGGCGGTTGAGGACGGCGAAGGTGGTGGGGTCCAGGCGGGCGAACTTGTTGGAGGAGAGGTCCAGGCTGCTGAGGCTCGGACACTCCCAGAAGGCGTTGGAGGCGATGACTTCCAGGAGGTTGTGTTGGAGGTAGAGACACTGGAGACGCCCCAGGCCCCTCAGCATCCCCTCGGTCAGGTTGGTCAGCTTGTTGTAGCCCAACTGGAGGATCTGCAAGAGAAGAAAAAACAAAATTACATGTTTTTAAAGTGGAACTAAACACTAAATCTGCTTTATTATGCTACTAAACTGTGTATGATGTCCAAGTAGGGGTGTAACGGACTTCCTCAGAGTGGACACGTGATGGTGCTGTGACCGTCAGACTGATGTTGCTCTGTCCGGTCAGCTGATTTAAACAGGTTTTGGCACTTTAACTTCTTGGGTTCTTTTTAAGGACAATGCAGTAAAGTGTGTTTACCTTGTTGACATGTTTCGGCTGCTAGCTGCGAGCCATCTTCAGAACTGTCACCGGTGTTGGTGGCGATGTGTCATATATCAGCTGTTGTTACTTCTTGTAGGCGTGGTCAGTCTGAGCCACCTGCAGGTCCATTAGGCTGACCACGCCTACAGGAAGATGAAGATGGCTCGCAGCTAGCAGCCGAAACATGTCAACAAGGTAAACACACTTTACTGCATTGTCTTTAAAAAGAACCCAAGAAGTTAAAGCATATAAGAAAACAAAATGAACATCTTTGGCTTAGGTTTTGGCGCTGTCTTCCTACAGGTGGAGGCAGAACGACAACACCACCTGCAGTCCAACTTCCTCAGGACAGTATCCCAGGTGTGTGAGAGTAAAAAAGCCCCCTCGTCCCGGTTAATCGTCCCGTGGGCACGTTTCCGTATTTCGATTGCCTCTTTAATCCAGTGGCGATGTTTGTTTTCCTCTGTCCCGATGATGTTCGCTCCATCCCAGTCCATAATGTGGACGTCCTGCCTCCACCGGTGGGAAGACAGCGCCAAAACCTGTTTAAATCAGCTGACCAGACACGTCACAGCAACATCACGTGACTCTGAGGACGACGCTAGTGAGCAGTCGAAACTGTCAGGTGTGAAACAAAACTGTAGGTCTGAAAAAAGAAACTATTAACATAAAATATCGGAAGACCAAATGAACGTTATTGGACTAGGGGTGTAATGGTACATGTATTTGTGCTGAACCGTTTCAGTGTGGGACATTTAATTTGGTGCAAGGCTGTGCACGAGTTAATTCGCGCAATTTGTGTGTGTTTACATTTTGCCACTACATGTGCAGCTACACTGAAGCTCGGCTCTCGTGATCTCCAGTGTGAACATTAAACGGCCCAAAAGTGTCCCGCATGAGACACTGGAGACACGACGACGTCAACCGCAGCGAGCGTCTCTGTGTTTACGGAAGTTGTCCAAACATGGACGCAGCATCGAGCACCTGGAGATTTTAAAGTTCCTCTCGTACCGGAGCCAGAACATGAACAACTTACTTGTTTTAAGGAGGAGATTGAGAAGGAGAAGGACGAGGTTTTTGGTCGTGGTGTTTTGTGGGTTCAGTCGTTGAAAGGAACGTGTGGATGTGGAGACGGAGCCAAGAGTGGTGAGTGGAGATGTGCTTCACTTCAGTCACACGGAGTTTATTAACAATTTTCGCGTGACGAGAAGAACGTCTGAGTACATTTGTCACTTGTTGACAACGTGTAGGTGGATGAATGCACTTTGGCCGTTCAGACTGAAGTCACATGTCAAAAGATCAGATATGTATCAGTTTCAGGAGCACATATCCAAGTGTCCTGGGTCACATTTGAAAAAATCGGATCTGTGTGGTTCAGACTGACATTAAAAGATCAGATACAGGAACATAGGGGCCAAAAAATCAGATTTGGGTCACTTCAGGCTGCAGTCTGAACGCAGCCTAATATTCATGAGGGAATTTGTCCGCGATTGGGGCAGTGTTTCCCACAGCGCTTTATAGTTCGAGCGACCACCTTGACAACAACTACCCACCACCTTGACTACGTCCCTCCGAACCATGTGAATCCTCGGAAAACTACGGTCACCGCACCTCTGTCCTCACCTTTGCCCTTCGCTGGCACGAAATCTCTGCCCCACCCCCCACCCCAGAAGATCAGACAATGTGGACAAGTTGGTTTTTTATGGCCAAAAATATGAAGATTGAGCAAAACTTCATGCTGGAACTGTTAGTGCTGCGAAAAGTTTTGTTTGCTGTTTACAAGGAGAAAAATCCCTCAGGTGGAATCCATGGCAAAGGAAAAATTCAATTTGCCGACCGGACAAAAGTTTGTTTGGTTGAAGACGTTTCGCAGCTCATCCAACCTGCTTCTTCAGTTGTGGTCAGACGCCGGTGGACATTTCCTTAAATCTGTCTGAAGGGAGGAGCTAAAAGTGTCCTCCAACTGAAGAAGAACTGAAGAAGCAGGTTGGAAGAGCTGCAAAACGTTTTCAACCAAATAAAATTTTGTCCAGTCGACAAACTGAATTTCTCCTTTGCCATGGATTCTACCTGAACGAGGGATTCTTCACACTCTTTGTAAACAGTAAACAAAACTTTTCAAAAAGTAACAGTTCCAGCATGAAGTTTTACTCAATCTTCATATTTTTGGCCATAAAAAACAACTTGTCCACATTGTCTGAATTGAATTTCTCCTTTGCCATACATTTGTTGCATACATACTGTTGTTCTAATGCAACAAAGTAAAATAAAATAAAATAATATATACATTTTCTTCCAAACAATAGATTTACATTTCAAATTTGACTAAGTGATTTTTGATGTTTTTTGGCGCAGCTCCAGTAAAACCCATTGA